TACCTAGCATATATATAATAATGACATTTTACTCATTCCCCTTAACAACCGCTGAAAGAATGTTTTACTGCAAATGCATCTAAATTTGGTATCTATCGAAGGAATGAGGGTTGATAAAGTGAAAAATTGGGTTCTTCGGTGCCATGCTTGTTTTAAGTACGTTGTTAACATTTTCAATTTTTGATAAAATCCCTTCTGACCTTTTGTCACCGACATATCCCTATAGAGTCACTACTGATATGGAGAAGCAATTTTGTCCTACCTGCGGCAACGCCACCTTGATTCGCACCTCCACTAGCACTGACGCTAATGGAAATGTGACATATTATCTGAAGAAGAATTTTCAATATAATCTACGTGGGACAAAGGTAGATCACATTGCTTCAATTTCTGATTTGCCCATCCCGATGGTGCTAATACGTTTCACAACCTTGATTAGTACTCGATACCTGAACCAAAAGGTGGTCGTCATGCCAATAATTTAATTCTTCGCGAAGATCAGAAAGAATACCAAAGGGCATTGAAACATCAACGCAAGCAAAAAGAGGTGGACATCTTTGATCCAGATTATATTCCTAAGCTAATGATTGGCTCAATTCCCTCTGTAGCCGCTGGACCTCCGATAATAGGATATGGGCGTAGAAATCCCAATGAGGCTAGGAGAGGAAAAAAGAAGGGAAGGAAACAGAGATGATACGATATTAAACATTTCACACTAGATTACTATAATTAATGGCTTTCAAATTCTTATTGGCTGTAACAATTTTGAGATCTGATCATCACGTGATGTGTTTCAATATAAGTTTAAAGTTAGTGTTAGTAAATACTTATTGTAAATCGAGAATCAAAAAAAACTAGCTTAATATATTTTTGTTGATTAAAGAATATATTATAATCTACTGTAATTTATTAAAAGTTTTTTGATTTTTTGATTAATAAAGTCTTATTATTATTTTTGAAATAACTTGAAAAAATATCTAATTGAAAATCTTTTTTTTTTTTAACTTGCAATCAGACCAGCATGTTATGTCTTTATTATATATATGCTAGATATTTACAAATTTTTGTGACTTTCACATACTAACTCACTCATTATCAAAAACTAATTTTCTAAATACAATCTAAGAAATGATATTTCATTTCTTTACTAATTTGAATAACTTCTCTAATTAATAAAATCATTGACTACAGGTCATTACTATAGATTATTCTAAGTTTTATTTGTATTTAAAAACCAAACCATTTGATTTTATGACAAACCTAATCCTTAATAATTGCTGTATACTTTTTTTTTTTTTTTTTTTTAGTGCTTTTCAGATTCAGATCCTTTAGAAATAATAGTACTACTTCTTGATCCTATCTAATTTATATATTAATCTATACTTATATCTTTTGTTTCTTTTATTTTTTTTTGATAATCTTCTGCTTTTTTTTTTTCATTCTATAACTTTAACACGGTAATTATTCCAAATCTTTTTTTTAAAGTTTACTCATATTTTTTGACAAAATGTATTGATTATACTCTATATAGTTGCAGATAAGATCTTGAATTGTTCTTTGAGATATTTATTTAAGAATATGATCTTATCTTCTTCTATATATTCACAAATAGTATTGAAAAGACCCCTGTCAAATTTTTGAATCTCTTTCAACTATTTATCTATTCAGTTATTTATTACAGATTAGACTTCTTCTTTATTTTTAACTTCTTTGCAAATGTCTTTGTAATCTTTTCATTT